CATCCATACCAGTACCCTATGTCTGCTTTAGGGAAAAAAACAAAAACCAAATAAACAAACAAAAAAACCCAACCCCCAAAACCCAAGAGCAGCCAGATGACAGCTAATCCACGCTTTCATTTGAAATACTCCTTCTAATTAGCAGCTCGTTTAGAACTTGATATGTGAATTTTTACATCACATCCACAGTTTGTGAGTAATATCTATCGTAATGCTGGGTATTATTCTTATCCAATATAGTATTTTTAAATAAAAATATTTCCTTTTTGATGCAATAAGGAAATCACAGCTTCCTTTGTTTCACGTGAATTTTTTCAGATCCCTCACCATATTTTTTTTCTTTCTCTGCAGTTTTCCTAAAACTACAACGTCTCTTTCTGAGATGTGATTTCAAAGAACCATAGATGAGCTCAAACTCTTGACTTTATAGTCCATGTGATATTGACCATTCTTTATCTCTACATATCCCATCTCACTGACGTTTTTCATGGCCTCTGCTGTAGCAGCAGAAGAGGTTTTCACAAAACTGGCTTCATCAATGTTTTTTTTAAACCTTTATCACTACAGTAGCACCCTGTAAAGTATTTCAGTTCAGAATTTACCTACCATTCTCCAGTGCTTTCACTTTACCAGCATTAACTTGATATTGCATCATCTGGATGGTCACTCAGCTTTCTCCACAAAACCTTCGACTTTTTTAGAAACTATGAATATACAGTGAATTTTTCATCAGTTAATCTTGCAATCCCACTGAGCACCCTTTTATTCAGCACTTTATTATTATCTGTCTTTGCCATATTTTGTCATATTGATACGTTCAAACAATTCTAGCAATGAGAAAAAAATAATTTCCTCAGATCTAGGTTTATTTCCTTAGAAAGAAGTTAGATGCTCTCTACCTATTACCCCCTCATGCTTAATGAAAGCTACAATGACAAAATAATCTGAAATGTTCCAAAATATTATTTACTATGTATTTGCTTTTTAAAAAGACATATAAAAATGTATATATGACAAGGAACATACACAGACAGACTCTGGTTACCAAACATGGCATGATGTGTTAACTCCTCTTTTACATTCCTAGGATTCAACAGAAAACAAAATGAAAGAAAATAAAATATCTGTCTGCATGCATAAAAACTAGAAAAGTTATTATCTGAGTAGCACATAACCTGCTATCAGTATATTGCTGGAGAACAGTTCCAGCTGCAAAACTACCATCACACTAATAATTTAAAAAAAAAATATTTTGGAAAAGAAATGCTATCTCCAGAGATTCTCAAAGATAAGGGTAAATTTAAACAATTGTAGCTATAAATCTAAACATTTCCTATCTCTCTGAAAGGCATTATTGCATCCTAGGGAAACGTGTGCACCAAGTACATTGAAGCACTCAATTTAAAAGTAATTGAGTGGTGTCAGGCACCACTAATGATCTTATAAGTGCATTTTAGTGCTTATTGTTAATGAAGAAATACATTCAATCTTTTTCTGGCACGTTAATTATTTCTGTATTAAATAGTTTCCTATATTTTTGTGCCACAATCACAACGATAGCACATCAAAAAGTGCACGTGTACAATTATCACTGGATCAAGTATTGTGAATTTTTATATATATATATTTTTTTTTATGGGTAAGTTACCCAATTCACCAAGCTTCAGAAGAAACCAAAAAGAAACTGCACTCAGTGTAGAGTCTTCAGGTTTGGCTGGGTTAACAGGCTGATTATGAAAAAACTGTATGGTTTGATATGAATGTCTTGCCTGTTCCCTGCAGCAGGAAGAGCAACAGCTAGTAGCACACTTCCTCAGTTGGCTTGGCCTCCTCTCCAACACCGCACCTCAAATGCCACCCACTTCCAGAGGGCAATTCCTGCTTCTCTTTAAATGGTGATGCAGGCCACTTGCCTCAGTGGGTCAAAAGAAACCTCAGATGTTTTGCCAACGTCATCAGCTTTTGTCAAAAGGTTGAGTAGTTCTCCCAGTCTGTTAGACCTCAGACAATACAGAAAATAAACTGGGTACGGAGTGAGGGTGATTTACCCTCTCTTGTGATGAGACACCTATTTCAGAATGTGGCTCAGACACATTCCTTGGCTACTATGACAAAGCTATTGCAGTAAGCACAGCTGTACCTTTCCAGAGAGGAGATAAAAACCAAACCAAACCAACCAAATCTCTGTGGATTTTAAGGTACCTGTAGCTCTCCCTTATCAATTTTCAGCCAAAATGACTAAAGGGAAAGAAAAGGAACAAGTGGGATCTCTCTCCAGTGCTCCATGCACCCTTCACGTGTTTTACATGCAATGATAAAACACTTATTTAGAAAAATGCCACAGCAAAAAAGTGTTCCAGTAGGAGCTAACAGAGTGAGAACAACTGCACGTGGTTCCTCATGTGGAATGGTGAATATAGGATATGGGATCTCCTCATCAACAGAGATCCACTGAGAGGAGGGATTGCAGCCCACCAGAAATCCATCACACAGCCCTGGTTTTCTCATCCCATACTACTGTCTGAATTCAACCTGGAGACTTCATCTCCCCCAGCACCCACCTGCCTGACCAGCTAGGTCTATCCAGACTTGCAGAACAGCACTGTACACATCAAACTGCCTGTTTCCACTCCTGCTGGCAGGTCTTCATACATGGAGGATAAATAGAGGAGCACAGAACAGAGAGCTTCACACAACATACACTTTAGCTCAAACCAGAGGATTTCCTGCCTTGGATAGCTTCTCCTAGTTAGCCAGGCTCACAAAGCATAGAAAAGCTGAAGTGAGGAGCAAGCAGTCACTTCTTCAATAAACTTAGTGGATTTCCAACCATTTCTGTCAGCAGGTGGAGCAGCAACAGCATTAAATATGGACAGGTAAGTATCTCCCTGTATTTCTCTGCTAACTACCAAAGTAATATTTGCCTGTTAGTCACTGCCTGCTGAAATGACAGAGGAACTATTGCTGCTTCTAGGGCTCTTCCTTCCACTGGGAAACGGAAGAAAGCAATTAGAAACCTCTGATCATCTAATGCAAGGCTGACAAAGGTAAAAACCAAATTTCTCTCATCTTGGCAAGAGGGTTCCCTTTGCTTTCAGAAAACATCTGTGGAAACTTTACTTTAAAAAATTCCCAGGTGAGAAAAAATAGCGTATAGAAAATCACCCTAATGGCACCACACCTACCAGAAAAAGTTATGTGACTCGGCTGTTCTTAATGTGAGAGATCTGACTGAGATCTCTCTAGTCATAAGGAGAGGTTCAGAGCAGCTCAGTATTCAGAACAGGAGACTAGATCAGAACATGTGGATTTTGAGCTCTGTATAAAGTATTCTGTACTGGCATTTCCCAACAGAACTCAATGCAATTGTTCCAAAATAGATAGAGCTATCAAATAATACATAAAACTATCAATAACTGAAGGTATCCAGGGTGGACAACTGCCTAAATGTAAAAGCTTTTCCCTGCATTCTTTGCATCTTGCACAGTGATTCTGAGCCTTTAAAAATGGTAAGTCAAGCATGCAAGGCCCCTTCTGAGAGCTCAGCTTTGGTAGCCTCTCCCTCATATGTTTTTAGCAAACACCACTTAAATCTGTAAAAAGTGTGGATAAGCCATGGTGATTTCAATGAGAAGAATATACTCAGTCATTTCATGAGTTATAAAGGACAAATGTGTCCAGTCATTTTCACTAAATATACAATAAATATTAAAAAAACTTGATTGAAAAAGGGTTGGCTAAAATTATGTCCACTTACCAGCAAAAGGAGAGAATGGTGTTTGAATCAAGATTAAAACAAACCTGAAATTCAACAAGCTTACTCTTGAACAGACAATTCTAGTACAAAAGATTACATTTCACATTACATTCTTTTCAAACTCAGATTTAAAAACCTGCTCCTGACTCTTAAGTGAGTTTACAACTCATGATTCTAGGCAAACAGGAAGAATTACAAAACTGTGCTGTTGGATGACATCTACTCAAGTTTTAGACCACAATTTGTTATTGCACACTTAATTACTAACACTTAAACAGCAGTGAGAAGTGTCAAATGCTATGGAAAGCATAATTTATTTCTCCTGACAGATATTAATTGGCCTGTATTAATGACATTTGGAACTATTACTAATGAGGAAAAATAGCCATCCCAGCATGTCAGCAATATCTGCAGTGAGAGGACAGCCTTCTAGCCATTAAAAATAACAATGAGGGAAGAGGGGATGTCACATCATAAGACAAGAAAAGCTATTTCTCAAAGAGGATGTTTATGACTAAATTTCTAAATCGCTGCCACAGCACAGGGGGGCAGGAATTCTGAAAGTACTTCCAGCAGCTCTGCTGTATGATCAGTCTCAGCAGCTCTTGGCTAACTGGAGTTTGTGTTGGTGTTATTCCTCCAGGGTCTCGTCCTTTCGTTATACAGAACCAGGCAGCTACCCAGGGATCCTCGGGGACAGCGAGGGGTCCTTTCAGCACACCAGCTCCTTTTCTTCACTTTTTTGCAGGGCAGAACAGTGGGAAAAGGGTCAAAATATGTTTTCTGTTATAGAATCATAGAATGGTTTGGGTTGGGAGGGACCTTAAAGGTCATCCAGTCCCAACCCCCCTGCCATCAGCAGGGACACCTTCCACTAGACCAGGTTGCTCAAAGCCTCATCCAACCTGGCCTTCAACACTTCCAGGGAGGAGCAGCCACAGCTTCTCTGGCCAACCTGGGACACTGTCTGTCTTATGCTTTTATCAAAAACATAAAGGTAGGACCACATTAGTTTAACTTCCAAGGTATACTAAATATCATATACAGCCTCCTGTGGTATGTAAAGAGAGTCAGGAAGGTACCAGTTATGCAGAAGTCCATTTCCCAAGCAGAAAGAACGTTTGTAAATTCAGTCAGCCAGATTAAACAGGCAAATCAACAACTACACAAGCGCATTACTCCACTGCTCCACTGCTTTAACTGAAGATCAGGCATCCCTACGACAGCGTTTATCAGCACCCACCATTATCCTGAAGGAGTCCTGTGGAAGCTGTTACTCTTCCTGTCTGTTTTACTTCTGTAGAGCTGTCAGAAAAGTCTCTGGACACAGGATCCTCTGGATTCTGTGTTTTTTTCTCTTTCCTTTCAGGAGGCTGGGGAGATGAACTGTTTTCTCCCAGGTCACTGGATCCAACAGTAGATTTAGATTGACGATCATTTCCCTGAAAAGACACGTAATGTAATTATCACTGATGAATAAGACAAAGTTTATTTTTTTAAACTTCAATATTATTTCAACCTTTTAATACTAAGGATTAGTATCAGGTGTTAAAGAAGCATATTAATTTACAATCAGTACAGTTAGGCAATATCTTAAACTATCCAGAAAAGTGCAACTATCTAGTCAACTTACTATACAATCTGACTGATGAAATGACCCTCAACAACTCCCAGAAGAAAACAAGACATTTATTATCAGGAAATAATGTTTCATTTGATGAAAAGAATGGCCAGGTGAATCTATAAATGCATGCAGATGATATACAGCTGTATCACATCTATGCATACTTGTGGAAAGTCACACGTTGTTAACATACAGAACTTTTCAATAATTCATTGTGTGTGTAAATGAGACATGGGCATTAATCTTCTAAATGTCAAAAGCAGCTGGAAGAAGATGATGGTGTTTGTGTGTCAGTAGCACTGACTGCCAAGTGGACACTTAGAAAGGTGTCTGCCAACACATCACCTCGGAATCACCTCCAAGGACATCAGCCAGTTCCTCTGCTTGCTTTGTGATGTATCTAGAAACAGAACCAGAAACCTCATCCTTATTTTTACAGCTTTGATGTACATATGATCCTGGGTGTACCAGCCAGAGATTTACTTATTTGCACACATTTTTCTTCAGTCTAAATCTGTTCACAAGCAACATCATAAACACCTGAACTGTGTGTAGCAGCCCATTAGGGTGCTGTTTATATTGTACTAGGCTGTGCAAAAACTACCAGCTGAACAGGCTCATCGTTGCCTGTCATCAAAACACTCTAGCAGAGAGGTCAGAAAACCTTATCAGAATCGGGAACCGTTCATCTTATCACAGCTAAACCACGGAGACCAATATATTCTACTTCATTGTTTCGCTTAGTGCAGCTGCATGAACAAGTCCTGCCAGTTTAGAACCTGCCCACCAGAAAGGCCTTTCATTTTACAATGATCATAGACAATTCTTTTCACCTCACTGCTAAAGTTAAAAGGTGATACCTATATCAAATTAAAATTGTCCATAAAAATAAGTCCTGAACAAAATCCTGCATATGTTATTACATTTTTATGTGACTCTTCATTCTGTTTTAAAAAAATCCTGCATACTTTACTACATTTTTTTATGTGATTCTTCTAGTTTTCACATAATCAGTAGAAACCAGTTCTGTCTAAAATATCGTACTTAAATACCATCTAATCTACCATTTATCTACCAATGCCATCAAATCTACCACTTACCCTTTCTGTATAAAGAGAAACAAGGGCATGGCAATATTTCAGCCTCTTCTGATTCAAACTGAAGACTGTTACTCCCAAGTAATCATAGTAAAAAAGTGCAGATATCAAATTGAAGCAGACAATTGCATGATCTATACCAGTTCAAGTGTTGCATTAGATACTCAAGAGCAGTAGTACACATTCCTGCCTCCCTAAGCTTTGACACTTCTTGTCAGCGTGTCAAATATTCCAGCACTGGTCTGTTGTTACAATCCCAATGGAATGAAAGTGAATATCAAATAATTTTCTGTAAAAGCTGTTAAATAATAGTAGAGGAAGCAAGTTAAAACTGTCAATGAGTTATTTTTAAGAATATTAGCATTACAAAGCTCACATTTTCAAAACAGACACCACCTGAAAGGATGTTCTTTACTGAGGTTTTATCTTCTATTGAATTTCAACAGAATAGAACAGAGACTTGTATATTTTATTGCTTGTTTTGTTTAGTAGCCCCGGGGCTTTTTTGTTTTGTAAACAGTGAATGGACATGATCAACCACCAAACATTCTAATGAAGTACTGTGAGTCTGACTCTGCTGTCTTGAGCTTGTGGGGTAAACTGCACTGGTACAGAATGGGTGCAAACACACACTTATATTCTGCCTTGGCACCGTTTTAAATCCACAGTCGACTCATTTTGTTCACATATAAATAGCTCTACAGGATACAAAGCAGTGGAGGCTCAAGCTCTGCATTTAATGGTGAGCTAGGACAAAACACATCAGAGAGGGAACTGTCACGGGGCCTTATTCAGACTCAGCATGCAGAAACACCCTTTTCTGCACAACATGTTGTAAAAGGGTCTGTGCTTTTCATTTAGGTGTATAATTTCAATAAATAAATAAACAAATCCACAAAGGTAGCTGACGAGGTTTATGGGAAAGACCTCAAGGCAGCACTTGATCTTTGTTATGGAAGGTTTTACAAAAAAATAAAGCTGCCATTTTTGCAATAGTGTTTCTCAGATTTCTTTTGTCTAATTGACGCTGCAAACAGGTACAGATTCATCAAGCTTTAATAAGCACACCACCAGGTGGCTGTGGATTTCTTTTTCTCTTCAGATTTAATTAAAACCCAAAGGACATCAGCCAGGATTAATTAGAAACAGACTTTATTATGGCACTTGATACTTACACTGTCTTTAGACTTTCGAGATCCCGGAACTGGAGGTCGCCCAGAGGCTTTGGAACTGCAGAAATAAGCCATGTCTCAGAATTGTGGACACTGTCACTATCTATAACCGAGTCAGATAACCCCAACTGGGCTATGTCAACAGAGTAAATTGGTTTATTCATTGCATGTTTTTACTAAGAATCACTCATTTCTGTTCGCTAGACTATATTCAAACACATAATCATTAACTTATTCAAACAGATGTATTACATTTCCCCACAATGCATACTTTGTGTACTGAAAATTTGCAGAGCAGTATTCAGTGAATTGCTACGTGAAAGATCCTGACAACTATTATAATGGAAAGTTCCAGCAATTTCAACAAAATTCTCCTTACATCAATTGATCAACACAGCTTTTCACTGTCCTTAAATCTATTTGTTGCAAATGCTGTTTCCCAAAATACTTTTAAGTTACTCAAATTGTTCACAGTTGCTTACTAAAAAAAAAAAAAATCAATTACACCCCAGTTTTTATGCAGAATATGGGACAAATTCTCTAAATGACACCAGTTTGTGGGACAAATTCTTTCCATTTATTTCACTGAAATGGTTCCCAATTTTCATCTTTTCCAAAGATAATTAAAAAAAAAAAGTTTCTCCTTACAGAAACCTGGTTTAGGACTCTACTATGTGATAATTCTAGCCTACCAGAAACAGACCCAGACATAAAGTATTCTTAAGGGAGTACATATTCCACAAAACATTATCAAGCAAGAGTAGATCAAGGCTGGTGTAGCGGCATCTAATCTCCCTCAGCTGTACACATCTGTATCCCAAAAAAAGAGCAAATTAACCCAAGCCATTGTAATCCTTTCTCTGACATTAATTTTGTGATAAGGTGAAACACTCTTCTGAATTTCCATCTGCTCTTCTGTTTTTGTCATCTCAGCTTTCTCAGAAGTTGTCAGTGAAGTTTTGCATCCATACGAACTCATCCATCCCTCCATCCCTCTCTCCCTCCTTCTTGGAATGATGACTTTGTACTTTCCTGGTGGTACTTTGTAAGCAAATTGACACACACACAAGCACACACCGACAGAACTTACCCCTGTGGCCTTCTCACTGTAGATTTGGTAAACAGCAGATTACCATACGGCAACTTCTTAAACTTTTCTCTGCCCACTGCAACATAAATTTGACCGTTCTCCAAGTCTGACCCATTCTGAACAAGTTTTCCATCTAAAGTGTAAAGCCTGAAAAATATGAACGTGCTGAATATAATAAACCTTCACATTCAGTTAGGTGGATTAAGTGTGTTGAACACTACGTTAACCTAAACTCACTAAATCATACTGAATTTCCAGATATAAACCAAATAAAGTACAGAGGATGCCGTACAATGATCAGTCACTACATAAAAAACAAAAGACAAGGAAAGACAGAGCAAAACAACAACCTAAATCACAGTTTATATAAAACTAATGAAGTATGAAGCACTATGAAGTTCTATATTATGAGCATTTAATCTGAAGACAGAATAAATATTCATAATTTCTAAAATGAAATTAATTACTTTATATTTAGAAGGTCTTTAATGCCTTTCCCCTGATACTTTGGAAAGGTTCTAGTCCATGAGTTCCCAGCCCCTGTCACATCAAGTTCCACCTCCCATCTGTGCTGTGGGAGTAATCTGGGAAGGACAAGGGCATTCATGGTCCCATGACTGATAACCCAGGACCTGTCCACCTAACACAGACCAAGTTGATAATAATTGCATGTATATTGTTCTATTCTATAGATGAGAAGGTTGGAACATGGCTGTACCTGGTGGGGTAAGGCTGGAAGTAGCAGGAAATACAATAACACATTATAGCAAGAAGTTGTGTGTCTTAGCACCCACAATACCAATAATTAATATGTCTATTACACCAGGTAGATCTTTACCACAATAATTTCTGTTTGTACAGATGGAATAAATGCACTAGGGTCCTGGGGGGAAAGAGGAACGGTCAACACATTATTTCTATGCTATCTTTAATAGCATAGAAATAATTAAGAATTAACTTGACAAACTTTATTGTCAAGTTTGTGATTTTCATTAAGGATGGTCAAAACAATGAGGAAGGAGGAAACATTCAAGAACAAATAAGCTCTTCCCCACGAAGCAGATTTCAAAACTCAACAATATTTATATTTAACTAAAAAGTCAACATTAACAGTTTTGCATTTAAGTCTTGTTGAATGGCCACGTGAAATGCCTTTCCCAAAGCCTTCCAGAGGAGCTGCTATATGTATTATTCATAAAGTTCAACACAATGTAAGGAGATATAAAATTATATATACACCTATCCAATTAACCTTTTATGAAGAATATCAACAGTCTGCCTTGAGAACACCCCTGACTTATAAAGTGCAAAACTTTTCAGTTTAATAGAGAAAAAACTGCTTCTTTAATTCATACACATGGTGACACAACCTTGAATAAACACAGGAAAAAAAATGCAGCTTGTAGAACCAGGAATCACAGAATAGCTGATGCTGGACACCTTCTCTGGAGACTGCCTAGTCCAACTGCCCTGTGCAGAGCAGGAGCAACCAGCCAAGGTTGTGTTTTGAGTAACTGCAAGGATGGAGACTCCACAACTTCTCTGGGCAACCTGTTTTTTACTTACAGTAAAAATATTTGGGGTTTGGGTTTTTTTTTCCTCCAGTTCAAGTGGAATTTCCTGTATTTCAGTTTGTGTCCATTGCCTCTTGTTCTGTCACTGAGCACCACTGAGAAGAGCCCGGCTCCGTCCTCTTTGCACCCTCCCTTCAGCTATTTGTACATGTGAACAAGATCTCTCTGAGCCTTCTCTTCTCCAGGCTGTAGAGTCCCAGCTCTCTCAGCCCTCCCCATGGGACAGGTATTGTCAAGCCCTTCATCTTCATGGCCCTTTGCTGCACTTGCTCCATTGTGTCCATGTCTCTCTTATATTCCCCCTCATGAAAATACTTTGATTTTCTATGTGGATCCTGCCCTATGGAAGTACCTTGGGTTTCTAAGTGCAAAGAAGGTGAAATTGCAGCTTTTTAAAACCTTGATCACATAGCTGCTTCCTTGGGAAGAGGAATGCTAACTCTGAAGCACCCCTTCTGTAATACTCATATTTACTTTTCAGCACAAAAACTTCACAGGAATTCCAACAATTCAAAGAACAATTTATGTTTCACTACGATGCAGACATCAGTTACACGCAAACAATGAAAATTAAACAAGCAATCTAAAAATCAGCAAGAAGCCTATTTCTGAATTACTCTCACTGGATTTTACTAGACTACATTTTGCTTTGGGGAACTCAGGAGGGGAAAAAAAGCAAACCAATGTACCACAGTTTAAGAACTGTTGGATATATTTATATAAAAATATATATAAATATATCAATATATCACGGCAGGGGGGTTAGAACTAGATGATCTTTAAGGTCCCTTCCAATCCTAACCATTCTATGATTCTATATGGTGCTGCAGGTATACAGGGGTACAGACAAACATGACTGTGGGTTCTTGTTCCTGATCCTTCACCTTGCTTGTGTTTTAATATTATATTTAATGCGTAAACTTGTTTGCTTAATATTAAGTCCCCAAAATGTTACGGATTATCTAGCAGCCTCTAGTTGTGTTTTTCACCCTGAAAATAATAACCACAATAATGGAATGAAACATAACTGATCACTGACTAGTAGTATGCAACCAAGATATCCTTGTGGTCACTTCTTCTGGTCACTGGGGGATGACCTAGGGCTTTTCCTGTGGGATGCCAGTGGAATTCCATTTTCCCTCCTGAATCCAACAACAAAGACACAACTTGCAGGACCAACGTCCCCAAATTCCTGACTCACCAGGTACTTGCCCATCAGGTTGCTGTACCCCATCCCCATGCTCAATCTGGCAAGCAGAAAAGCTTCTTTCTCATTATCTCCTCTCTCATATTTCTTACTTACCTCCCTACTCTGATGGGGATTATCAATGATTTTTTTTAAAGCCACTTGTGAAACAGTGTAAGACTTGTCAGCTTTGTGTGTCTTTTAATAACATGGAAAAGATAAACTGCCATATACATAATGCAAGTCCTTGTAATTCCACTTACCCTTCTTTAATGAGAAATTATATCTTCCCAGCATCAGTGGTCTTACAGGACCTCCCCTAATGCTAACACGGCTTCAGTAAACCCCAGCAATTAATGGGTAACTTATTAAAGAACAATGATCACTTTACTAACGTATTTAATATGTATTCCTAGCATTTTAAGGAAAAGAAAATGAAAACTGAGTTAATAGAAAACCAGAAAAAAGGAAAACATTAAATAATTCAAAATGTCATGTACATTCTCTTTATTTTTTAAAGGATTAAAACTGAGCACTAAAGGGAACTTCTCAAAAGCAATCCCAGCTATGTACGGAATAATTTATGCTTTCAGGTACATCATCCAGTTTCACCAAGAAGTGATACCAAGTAATGAGAATAAATTGTGAAAGGTTTTTAAATTGCTAAAAAGAATTAGTACGTCAGAAACTGTTACTCTGCTCACTTCTGAGTTTCACTGGCTGAGAATCAGATCCAGAAAGCTGCAACACACGTGTGGCTTTACTGCAAGTAAAAGAGCTAAACAGCCAGATAACAGGAGCAAAGAAATGCAGGGCTGAGAGGAAGAATTACAGGAGAGCTAATGAGTCAACAGGTAGTGTTAGCTTCACAGAATCACAGGATGTTGGGGATTGGAAGGGCCCTCGAAAGATCATCCAGTCCAATCCCCCTGCCAGAGCAGGAACCTAAATGAGATCACACAGGAAGGTGTCCAGGCGGGTCTTGAATGTCTCCAGAGAAGGAGACTCCACACCCTCCCTGGGCAGCCTGTCCCAGGGCTCTGGCACCCTCACTGGAAAGAAGTTTCTTCTCAAGTTTAAGTGGAACCTCCTGTGTTCCAGCTCACACCCATTGCCCCTTGTCCTACCATTGGGCATCACTGAGAAGAGCCTGGCTCCATCCTCCTGACATTCGCCCTTTACATATTGATAAACATTAATGAGGTCACCCCTCAGTCTCCTCTTCTCCAAGCTAAAGAGCCCCAGCTCCCTCAGCCTTTCCTCAGCAGGGAGATGCTCCACTCCCTTCATCATCTTGGTGGCTCTGTGCTGGACTCTCTCCAGCAGTACCTTCATCTTTTATCGTCTGCATCAGCTCTGGGCAATCGGAACTGAAAGACTATTTTATCTTCATGGATTTAAGACAGATTTTGCAAGCTTAGCCTCAGCCATTGCGTAAGCTGTGAAGAATGATTTTCCCAGACAAGGCCCTTTCCCACCTGAGGAACAGATTTCTGGAATGTGCTCTGCATGGGGCAACACTGGAATGTCAGGAATTTGCCGGCGCACACCTTGGCAGCCTGCTCACACCACAACGTCTCCCATGGAAACTGCATACAGCACTGGGCTCTAAAACTTGCAGCAACTATCAAATCCTATTTTAGAGAGTTTATTTTACACTGTAAAAGCCTTAAGGGACTGAAACTTGCCTATCCAAGTGGTCACTTCCAATTCCTGGGATAACACAATAACTCAGACCAGCTGAGATACTGGGACTGGCAAATTCCCAACTACAACTTTGGCCTTGGCTCTTACGAGGAGGCTGAGCTGACTGAATAAAGCACATTGTACCCATAGCACAGGTGTCCAAAAACCAAAGAATCCATAATATTTTCCTTGAAATTGTTTGCTCCAATTAATTTAAAGAACTATCAAAATTAAAAGGTATCATGGATTGCATCTCTTATTGTAAATTCCAAACATAGTCACGAACTTTACTGTGCTCATTTGTTTTATTCTCACTTGTAACTTAATTATTAATATTAAATATATTGCATTATTTTGGTATTATTACAGTCCTGCTAACAAAATATTTAATCAAGAAATAACAGCTGAAACAAATTAAGGTTTTTCTTAATTCAAATAGAATAGAATCATAAAATCTTAGGATTATAGTGGTTGGAAAAGACCTTTAAGATCACCAAGTCCAACCACAAACCCAACACTGCCAATTCCACCTCTAACCCATGTCCCTGAGCACCTCGTCTGCCCGCCTGTTCAATCCCACCAGGGAAGGTGACTCCACCACCTCCCTGGGCAGCCTTTTCCAGTGCTTGACTGACCTTTGGGTGAAGAAGTTTTTCCTCAGATCCCATCTCAACTGCCCCTGGTGCAACTTGAGGCCATTTCCTCTTGTCCTGTCCCTTGTTCCTTGGTTGAACAGACCCACCCCCACCTCCCTCCCCCCTCCTTTCAGGGCCTTGGACAGAGCCAGAAGGTCTCCCCTCAGCCTCCTTTTCTGCAGGCTCAACAACCCCAGTTCTCTCAGCTGCTCCTCGTAAGACGTGTTCTCCAGACCCTTCCCCAGCTTCCTTGTCCTTCTCTGGACCCTCCCCAGCAGCTCCATGTCTCTCCTGTAGTGAGGAAAGCAGTTCAAATGAAACCTGAAGGTTACCTGGAGTCAACGTATTTCTATTTTGTGGCTTTTTGATGTATTTTCACTTTCTTACAGTGGAATTTCCCATGGAGCGGGAATGATCCATTTTATCTACCTATAGAGTTTTAAAAACATATCTACACGTATCAAATGTATCTTGCAAATGTTCAGCTTCCTGATACCTGTGAACAGCTCCACTTCTGAGGGTAACTTTTCCTGTAGCCATTTCCAGAACATGATCCCAGTGACTCAGTGTTTTCCTGGGAATGAGGAGGCGCACTACAGGGCTAATCAGGTCCCCGTTAGCAATCAGGCTGAAACAAAGCAAAGTAAAATAATTTGGAGGATCATTTTAAACGAAACCCATCTGAAATGAAGACACTACGACCGCTACCACCACCCAGCCACCTGAAATGGCACTTCACTGACTGAAAATCCTCCTTACAAAATAGTGTAGGGCTCCTGGAGCGGCTTTCGAAACCGCGCTGACGCAGTGATTCTACTGTGAGTAACCGGCTTGACCTGCAAGGAGACAAAGAATTAGAAATTACTCAGTCTTCACATTGGGAAAAAATGCCCTGACCAGCACCAGTAAAAGGTAGGGGGGGGCAGGGGGGGGGAGCTGTGTATCTGCAGAAATAAGTTCCTGGTTTTAAAATGTGCATTTTATTCCATTCCAGCTTCACCTTCTACTGCTGCAGGTTTAGATACACGCTGAGTAACAAGTATATATAGTAAGTATAGTAGTAGTAACACAGCATAGCACACCACAGTGCAGCGTGGCACAAGGTATGGTTTCCACTGAGAGGTCAGAATGGTGTAGACATCTTTGGTGTCTCCTCAGCTGTCATTCCTGGAGACCCAAAGCAACACTCCCAAATGTTATTCTTGCTTTCTTAGTCTTTACTGCTCATAAACACGGCTCTGGCAATTAAACCATCTTCTTTTTTTTTAATAATAAATGCCATCTCTAAGTCTCTGCTATCACACAATAAGTTCTTTTGCTCTTGTACAGGTCTTTATATCCAAATCCATCAGTGATGTGTAAAGGTTGCTGAATCTTCTCTTCTCTTCTCTTCTCTTCTCTTCTCTTCTCTTCTCTTCTCTTCTCTTCTCTTCTCTTCTCTTCTCTTGTCTTCTCTTCTCTTCTCTTCTCTTCTCTTCTCTTCTCTTCTCTTCTCTTCTCTTCTCTTCTCTTCTCTTCTCTTCTCTTCTCTTCTCTTCTCTTCTCTTCTCTTCTCTTCTCTTCTCTTCTCTTCTCTTCTCCACTCCACTCCACTCCACTCCACTCCACTCCACTCCACTCCACTCCACTCCACTCCACTCTATTCTAATACTATGCTCATTTTAGGGCAATGACTCACAAGTGAACTGTAGATTTTTAGCTCTTAGGCTACTTAATTCCCAGCATTATTCCCTGTACTCTTTGGAAAAGATACTTCACTTGAGATCAACGAGATTGCTCAACATTAATGCCATTATACTAAACAGAAAGCTGCGCAAAATAAACACATTTTCAAATTAAAAAAAAAAAAAGAGAAAAAAAAAAAGGATAAACCCAAACTCTAAAACCATTAGGAATATTTATTTTAATTCTCCATCATCAGCAAATCAAAACAAGGTGTCAGACCCAAAGAAACATTCCAAAGTTGTAGTACATGCATTAATAAGTTGGTTACATTTCTAAAAAAAGACTAAAAAAAAGCTTAAAGGCTTAAAGAGCTTAAAGGCATGTGAGGAGACACGCTTCCAAGAGATGCACAAAGGTTATTTGAAGTGGCAATATTCCAGTCTGATGATGGGATGTGCTGCAGCTTTATCACACTCTGTGCTAACTGAACCAACACTTCTAATTGAATTATTGAAAACACTCTGGGCTCCAACACTTTTTTCCTGGATTTTCCTACAAATTCACTGAGCACTGACAGGATCTGCTTCCCAGATCTTTCTCTTGTATCTACTGAAAATAAACAAGAGAGGTGCTCAACCTACTAGATGTTCCAAACTGGCTAAAAATCATTATTAAAATAAGCAAATTTGACTTCTCACACAACCCAAAGAACCTCACAGAGCAACTTCTGCACCGAGCACATAAATTCTGGAGCTAACACAGCTCTCCTAGGGAAAAAGCAACCAAAACATAAAAGCAAAACGGGCATTCCCTGATGTACAACCACTCTGACCGGTGATGAGTGGTGTCCCTCAGGGGCTGGTAC